CTAGGAATGCCTAAGCAGGCTAAAGATATGTTCCTATCTTAGATTCCTCAATATCATGAGTTATTTTCGAATGTTTTCATCTTGATTCAAACAAGCTATCGACAACGTGCAGGCATGGATCAGAATATCAAAACATTTTGAATAATATCGGTTTACTAAAAGAGTGGGCAATAGGACTGGAAAACTGATGAATACAGCACTCTCGCTCCTGACGCTTTATGGGAAAACAGTTTGGCATATAGTACATTTTTAAACGCCATCATATAGACAAAGGTTCAAATTAGGGCGGATACTATCTCATTTTTGAAAATTCGAAAAAAAAAAGTTACAAAAATGTATTTGAATATAGCATTATTAGCTGACGAAAAAAAAATATTTATACTGCTTGTTCAAGATTTTCAGATAGTATCCGCCCTAGAATGAACCTTCAATATGCTACAGAAAAAAAATCAAATCATAATGTGGCTTGGTTTCTTCACAAAGCGTCAGGAGCCAATCCTCTGCAACCTCAAAAATAGGCATAAGTTCACGATGATATTTGCGCCCTCTGGTAAAAGTTATATCAGAAGAACATGGCAGTCGATATAGCCTTAGTTCGGGTGATTTGATGAAATATAGAAATAATGAAATTTAAAAATAAACTATATAAATTCATGAAATTTCAAAAATAAACTAGTAGGTATTGATTACTTTGAGACAAAAATAATGTATTCTTCACACATTTTCGTCAATTAAGTGAAATCTATTGAATAATCTGATGCGTAATTTCACGCGAGTTCATTGCCTCAAGTGCCCATAATTTCGCTAAACGCAAAAAATCGTCTACAATAATAGAATACGTATAGGTGGTTCCCCGAACGGGTTGTTTTTTACACGGCGTAACATCCTGAGATGCAGGGTGATGCAGGATGCAGGTATACGTTTATGGTCAATGGAATAGAGAGCTTGAGCTTCTGAAATTTGTAGGTTTTACAATTTTGTATTTAGTGCGAGTGTAATATAATAGTGGTAGGTCATTAATGATTGATGACATTATAAAAATGTTCAACATCCTTTGAATGGTTACGAATCCAGGTAAAATGAATCAATGTTGAATATTTTCGTCATGTCAGTTGTTTGATCCGCTTTATGCAGAAACGTTGAACTTTGTATTTGGTGTGGAAATGTTTTTGTGTTTGTGACTATATGTATTGAAAATGCCGCCTATAAAACCCAGGGCAGGTGATTATCGTAAGGGAGAAAAAACAAAATCACATGTGTCGACGTAGCCGGACTTAGGATATCAAGGGGGAAGAAAAATATCAGTATCGGTCGAATGTTATGTTCATTCTCTTCACCCAGACACCCCTATTTTGGAATTCCAAATGGCACCCCCTACTTCGAGATATATAAAATTCAAAGTCTAGCAATAATAACCAACCAGATGGAAAACTATCTCAGTATTCGATCCATAAATATCGGGACATAATTATTAAATTAAGTTATATTAGGTCAGTTATAACAGCCAAACATTTTGTCAATTTTCATTGAAGGTATCCTCAGATCAATTTTTGTGGAGTCACATGTGGAAACAATGGTTAATAAAACTCAGCCAGAGAATATGGATGTACTCAAACTGATATATTTCTCGAAAAGTAGACAAATAAATGGGAAAACGTTTCAAAAAATGTTTCAAGAATTCTAGAATAGGCTGTACTATTGAGCATCAAATATTGAAGCATATTTTCGAATAATTGCTTCAAATACCTCTGTCAAAGATCACTCGCTCTCTCTAACTTTTGTTGATCACCAACATGAATCATTGAAATAAATTATTATTCATCTGGTCGGATTGGTTTTTGTTTCTGCCTCAATTTGATGTATCTCAAGTTGCCATTTGGAATTTTATAAAGTAGAGGTGGCGGGGGTTTGAAGGGATGATCATAGCATTCAATAGATACTAGTATTTTATTTCCTCCTCAATATCTGAATCAACCTATTTTTTTCCATAATTGTTATCATTGCACATCATAAGGCTAAGTGGTAAGTTTTGAAATCAAAGATCTGTACTATGAATCGAGGAAATCGCCTATTTTGTAATATTCTCAGCTGAAACTGAATTTCAAAATTTTCTCTTCCAATGAGGAATTGGTGGAATAATCAACAATATTTCAATTTGTGCTAACTAAATCCACATCATAACATTTTTAACAATCGCCGCATATCATCGAGTTCAACCCGTTTCTATAAAGAGCACCGTACCATGTTCTTGACCTCACACAATATACCTCTCAATTCACAAGTTCTTGCGCTACTGCTGCTGCTGTTTTATATTCCACTTCAGCTGTGCTCAAAGCAACATAGTATCTAATGCTTTTCAAAGAACCAAGATACTGATTTGTTTTGACGGCTATAACACAAAATTGCTTTCGTTTTACTATGTTTGATATCACAATGACTTCATTTTGTTATTATTTCACAAATTCTCATCTCTCATAAAATATAAAATTTCAAGCAATGACATCAACTCTGTCTAATAGATCAGCATCACTAAAGAGTGAGCAATGAGCCGCACAAAATAACAAATTCAGCGCTCTCGCTCTAGACTTCCCATTTCGAAACCATTCAATATTTTCAGAATTTTTTCGATTCATGCTCTAGCCAAAGGACCAAGCTAGGTTGAATACTATCTCATTTTTCGAAATTTTTAAAGAAAGAGTGGAAAAAACGTTCTCGAAAAGTGCTCAAAATTAGTCAATTTGGCAAATAAAAAAAATACGTGTACATGAAATAACCAATTTCCAAATAGTATCCAACCTAGATCTATCTGTCAACAAACCACACAAAAAAGCAGCTCGAAATAACGATTGATGTCTATACACGACGTCAAGAGCCGTTGCTCTACATTCTCACAAATACGCACGATTTGGTCGATGATATTTGCGCCTACGTGAATCACCCTGTATAATATAACAGAAAAGTTAACTTTAACTGACGATACAGTTGAAATTCAAGAAAATAATGATTAAAGCCTACTCATAGTATCTGATGAGTCATTTCGTTTGCTTCTTGGTTTTTCAAGATCGGATTTTCAAAAGCAGCGCTATGGCTTGAGGCTTTTAAAATCCTAATTTTTCCACACCTCTCGACCAAAGAAGAGTGTCGTAAATCTTCATAACATATGTAAACGTAATGGATATAACCAAGGATATAACACAATCAAGGTGTTATCAAGTTAGATTCTATGACCGGATTACCCGATGAATATAGGTAGAATACATTTCGCTAGGAATCTGCTAGGCAGATTATTGGCAATATAAATAAATATTCGGACGCGGTAATCACCCCGACTAATTGACGAACCGGGTGAGTTGTCCTTTTCTAAAAAGGATGCTTGTTGATTTATGACTGTTTTGTAACCGCCCACTGCTATCTCTTCCTAACCCCCCCGGACCTCAGGTATAGGCGAGAATTGTCGCGTTTCTCAACCTTAAATTTCAAAGCCTACCAGTGTCGAAATATTATCGAATTCGTGTCACAGCCAACTTATTCTTTTTTAATAAAAATAAATTCAACAGCGAATTAAGAAATAAATGCCACTTTGTGATACATGGTTGGATAGAGAATTTTTAGGCGAAAAAGAAAGACTGAAGAAATGTACAGGGTGACACTTAAAAAAAAAGTTGGGGTCACTTCCGGTCAAACAGGTGATTGAAAACGATTGTGGTTAAGTTCGTAAAGTGTGCTACCATTTATTATATACCCCCTGTGAATTTCAAAATCTTATCTCTCCAAATAAAAAAACTACAGGCTGCTACATGTCTCCTGTGTCACCCGGTATATGCGAAAATATTAGTCCTGAGAGCCATCACTAAAGTACGACACCCTCAGAGCCACTTAAGTAATTCACCAAATTGTCTCCTTCGCCAATTCATAGGAATAAAATTGACACCAATAATCCCAGAACTCGGCACACAACTAATCAATTGAAATTTCAGCGCTTCAATAGATACTTTTAAGAATACCTTTTGCTTGGTAATACGACACCGAGTCAGTGAATATGTCGATGCAGTTTGGGAATAAACATATATGATTACAAATACACAATATACGAGGGGTGCTCAGACTTGAAGGGACACAACATTTAGATGACGAAAGATCGCCACATATACGACTACCGGCAATTATGAGTAGCCTGCTCATAATAAAAGTGAAGCAAATTCATGAGAATGAGATTTTTATAAGTATCTTTTATATAATATTATATACTAATACAAAGTATATTATTGAGAATAAAGTATTTATTTTCTCGCGATCGACTCCAAAAGACATTATTACTATCGTAATGAGGTATGGATCGTAAAAATTATCATTTATTATCAGTGTCAAAAACAATTTTTTCACGATCATCAGTCATAAGTTATGCATTCCAGGTGCATTAGTTTTAGTCATTAATAATATATGAATACATTATTCTTCTATATTCGTATATCCATTAATCATATTACGATAACCGATGAGTTATATCAAACTCAGCTTGATGGTACCCCTTCACTGATGGGACAATATCTCTTTCTCATATAATATAATTATTTAATACCATATTTATTAGTCAACTCATATGGTATACTATAGCCCGAGTATTACTCATTCATATTGATTATTAAACTAAGTATACACAACCTTTTCTCTAACCGATATAATTATTTCTACGACGCCTACATCGTTAATTTCTGTCACTCGCCAACGTCACTCAATCTGAATTCACCTTCATCAGAACAACATTGTTGCTTTAGTATGTCAATTTTACAGCTTCATCATCAATGTAAGATAAAACATTGTAGGTATACCCTATAATATGCTGGAAAGGTTATCGAAGGAGTAAAACGGCCTTGATAACAATTCTCACATCGAAAATATCTATCATTATCATTAATTGTTACCTACTATATCCTGATCGAATATCAATAAAATTTGAATTAATTATTTGCCTTCATCGAATATTCTTACTTTGTTTTCAGATATACAGTTACAGTAAGAATATCAGAATCCCAACCTTACCAAGTAAGAGAATACGTTTGGTGCCTCAACTTTCCGCCAAGATGTTCAAAGTACAAAATTCAATTCAAAACAGTGTATAAAACTCAAAACTTAGTTAAAACGAGACCTGTTGAAGACTGCTGCAAGGGTTATACGAAAAGCAATTCGGAAGATCGTTGCATCCCAGTATGCTCAAAAGACTGCATCCACGGTACTTGCATAGCACCTGATACCTGTCAATGTGAAACTGGTTATGGAGGCCCATATTGTGATATTTGTAAGTATTTCATATTCTTTACATACCTTTGAGTAGGCCGTTTGGTGTCACTGCTGAGTGTACTGGTTTCAGCAATTATCAATTGATATATTTCTGATTGTATACCTGATTCTCGAGCTCTGTCAAACCAAACGTGAAGGTATACAGGGTATCCAGAAATAAGAATTCACATATTCCATGATTCAGTTCCAGAGAGATGGAATGGTAATAATATAACATGGTTCTGGAAATGTTTCTTGAAGTTATTATACATTCGGTTCCTCAAAGCTGAGAATCATTTGGCACATAGTATAGTAATTTGATGTGATGATTGATCATTGGTATACCACGTCGGGTACCACCATTTACTGGGACGTGCAAGAGAAGCACTCTCAGAAAGCATTTTTGAACAGATATTAGAGAGTTGAAGTGTTGCCATTAACGTTGACGTGAACGTAGAAGTTGGCAGCTACGCATGCGCAGTTTTCAATTCTTCACGTTCGCGTTGGTAGTGGGCTTGCGGGTGTACGTTATTTCACGTACTTTTATGTATACCTCAAATATCGTTAACCAAATTATACTCGAAATATCCCGATGAGGCGAACATATCAAATTGGGGATTCCCAAGGAGTTCTGTATTTTTTTTTTTATTTTATTCATACACCATCCAACAGCCGTAGCCAATCACAGGATGGAAAAGATAAACAATTAATTACAAATTACAATTTAGATACAAACTAGATTAATACTAACTATACATAAGTTTCATACTGAGGTGAATGGAGATGGGCATATCTGCATATCAGCTGAAAAAAAAACTATGAGAAGAGAAAAAAAAGCTCACATGCAGATATGCACACTACCAAATAATACTACAACAATGCTCGTCTCAAACTAGCAATATTAGAACAGAGGATATCAAATGAATCTTGAGAAGACATTTAATCTGAATATATTCCATAAATAGGTGAAAACTGCAGTAGATTAGATTGAGGTGTGTGCAAGTAGAAGAAATATTTATCTCTCACTGGCAATCGAAGAAAATGTATATCAATGAGAGACAGTAAATGGGGACAATCAAGTTTGTTATTAAGCAATTTGTATGAAGGAGTCCTCACAGTTAAGCAGAAATAAATGTTCATATCTGAACAAACAAACCGAAAACAAAATGTATTATTACGTTACGATGACAGTGACGACTTCAGCTCAATTCGAAGACAATACCTAAACTTGTTTCGTACGTTACTGTCAACGTGGAGGACTACGTACAGTAATTACTTCCAACTCTCTATTGATGAACATTTTTTCTTCAAAGTTTCAACAGAAGAATCCCCTCTAAATATAAACGTTACAATGAAACTCTATTCTCAGACACTCTGTATAATATGCATGAACATAGATGAAAACACTTCAATTCAATGCAACTTGATAACTTTCGTCTCACATTTGCACCTACATCATTCAATACTGCATGATAAATCTGATCGTGCCCAAAAAAACCCTTGGAATGCTCAATTTTGTTGAAAAGGTATACGTCAAACTCTTCAAAACCAATATGAAATGAAAAAATGGTGTGATTGCATCACCCTGTGACTTGTATGCATCGACCTATATATACAATATGATGCAAATGTATGGAATAAATTCATTTCAAAACAAGACGACTCCCGAGAAAAATCCGAAAACTAGAGTTGAGAACTTTTTCAATTGATGTATTTTTTTCACTAGACGACCTCTGCAAGATTCAGTTAATTGAATGATAATCCATTTTGATTTCAATCTTCTTATGCAAAATTTTGACTGTTGGATAGACGATCAGTAGACCCTTCAAAAGAGGTGTCAAATGACCCTTGTTTGTATTTGAAAAAATCGTCCATTACGTCAATACTCCAACACCGGTGACGTAACATCTCTCATATGAATATCATGAGATGAGGATTCAAAAATCAAAACTCACGGGTTTTTGGAATTTTTTCAAAATTAATGTCGCCAATTTCTGAAATAGAATATATTCCATAATTATATATTTGCATCATACTGTATGTATATTTTAGATGAAGGCCAGGATGTTTTGCGATACCTCAGAATAAGAGGAATTCCAAAATTCTATACTTCCAGCATTATACTGTATGTATATGGAAAATAGGAACTACAACTCAGTTCAACTTCAAAGGGTAGGTAACGAATAAACAAAAGTTCATAATAATAAATCATCAAAATAGTGTATTAGTGAATCAGCTATACAAGATACCTTTATTATTATTGAATAAACAGCTGGCACATCTGGCAATGATTACTAATAGTTGAAGGTATAGTATAATAGTTATTCCCAAACGAATTATTGGTAATACAGATGTATTTGAGTAATTTTCTCATTACTCCAACGTCAACAGTTCTAATGTCTAGGATTTTGATAATTAGAAAATAGTTGTAGGTATGAGCCATAGCCATATTATTTTGCTTGGAAACTGTTACAAAAAAGCAATGTGTTTGTGGAAGTTGTTAGGATATAATGAGATTTTTATCAACGCTCAGGAATATATTCTGTCGCTGGAATTCCATGGTTTCCAATTATACAGGGTTTGTCACGGTGGATGGCCTATTAGAAGTATCTGGAGAACTAAAAGACAGAACATTCTGAAAATTGGGATGCTCCGATGATTGAACATTCTCTATTCGTCTAAAATGTTTTCATCGATACAATGTTGCCACTTCTATCAGAAACAACTAGCAACTTCGTTATTTTAAATAGATCACCCTGTATTTTATTGCATTTTCAGATCCTTCCTAAAAAGCTGATTTTATCAATATATCACACTTGGGGTCTAGCAGGAATGATTACAGAGACATAGGGTGTTCAAAATCGAGATCTTTCAATTTGGGGATTTTTTTGTGTCGAAACTATTCATTATCGATCGAAATGGTTTACATGTCCTTATCTCAACTTCCAATTCACTATCTACTGACATTTAATTGATAGAGATACTGGTTGATCAGAATTCTGACTTTTGAAGCATCCTGTATTTTTTTCAATTCAATTCCAGTAGATATTGAATCAAAAGTTGAGATAGGGACATGTTAGCCGTTTTTATCAATAATGAATTGTTTCGACTCTGAAAAATCCTAAAATTGAAAAATCTAGATTTTGAATACCCTATATATCTCTGTAATGATTTCTGCTAGACCCCAAGTGTGATGCATTGATGAAATCAGCTCCTCAGGAAGAATCTGAAAATGCAATGAAATATAGGGTGTTCCATTTGAAATAACAAATTTGCTAGTTGTTTCTGATAGAAGTGGCAACACTGTATCGATGAAAACATTTTAGACGAATAGAGAATGTTCAATTATCAAAGAATTCCAATTTTCAGATTCTGTCTTTTCGTTCTCCAGATACTTCTAATAGGCTATCCACCATGACCCACCCTGTATATTTATTTCAGCTTGCCCAAAAGGATTATGGGGTAGAGAGTGCCAAAACCACTGTGAATGCAAAAACAATTCCACATGTGATCCATTCAATGGCGAATGCCACTGCTCTAGAGGTTGGATAGGCAAACACTGTGAGGCAAAATGTGACGAGAAGCATTTTGGACAAGACTGCTTGGAGAAATGTCGGTGTGAAAACGGAGATTGCGATCACATTTCAGGGGAATGTAAATGCCATGCTGGATATATGGGACCCCTGTAAGTATCATCAACAGAAAATTCACGAAAAACTCCTGAACTTATAATATAACTAATACAATGTACTTTTCGTGATACCATACTGTTATTTTGATTTAACAGTATTCAGATGACAATTGAAAAGTTAATGATAACAGTCTCCGTCAACACGATGTTGACATTTTTCTGTAGAATTACGAGGTACGTGGTTTGTTCTTTCCTTCTTTCCTCGGAATCAAGATCTTTCAGCGAGTTGATGAAAATTCTTCAATGACACACAAGGCCGATACGCGATCAACGGCCTTGTAACGTTAATAACTATTCTGTATAATTATACGAGGTACGTGTGTTTTGTTCTTTCCTTGGAATCAAATTGTAGTCATTCAGTGAGATTACGAAAATCTTGAAGGACACAGAGTCAATACGCAAAAAAACAGATTTCGCTTGTTATAATCCTAGGGTACGCCTCGGATTACAATATTCAACCTCATCCGTTATTTCCTTCGGCATTGTTATGTTAATAACTATATTGAAATGATTATTCAAAAGAACAAACAAGGAGAAAATTACCTAGATATCATTGCAGCAGTGTATGATTTCTTGGAATGAAATATGGGTTCTACTGGCGGTACAGTGATAACTCTCTGTTTCTGAATCCCACAAAAACTACCAGTTTGATTTTTCACACTTCCCAAAATCATAACCTGTCGAAGCTAACGGTTAGTATCAATGATACCAAAGTAGAGACTTCAAAAAGTACTACATTTCTAGGTATAACCATGAACAACAATATATCTTTTAGTATTCACTGCAGTAAGCTGAGCAAATCAATGAATTCTAAATGTTACCAAATCAGGGTTCTCAGAAATGTTTTGGATAATCGAGGTCTGAAACAATATTACTTTGGTCAGATTCAGTCCAGATTATCATATGGAATAATGTTATGGGGAAACTCAACAGGCGTACAGGACGTATTCATTTCTCAAAAAAGGATCAAAGGATCATTAGATCGATTGCAGGAGTATCATCTACATTCTCATGTCGTAGCCTCTTCAAAAAACTTGAAATTTTACCACTGGTTGGACTTTTCATTCTGGAACTCGTAGTTTATGTTCATAAGAATAGAAATTCTTTTACAAGAAATCGATCCTATCACGAACATAATACGAGAACAAGAAATGATTTTCATATCCCTAACACACACCTCACACTTTGTATGAAGTCATATAAAATTCTGGGACTGAGATTATATAACGTTCTTCCTGATGCCTTGAAGAATATCAACTCAGTTCAATGCTTCAAGAAAATGTTATGTAAGTTACTTTTAGAAATTAGCCCATACACAATAGCTGAATTTTATGAATATCTTAAATGAATTCAGAAGTGTGTTAGCTTTTCCTTTTTTTTAAATAGTCTTGTGTAGTAAAGTGTACATGTGATGAATTTGTGTACCTGGTGTTAATTGTATTATTTGTTATATTTAATTTTAATTAGTTTTAGCCTTTGACCTGTCCAATAGCTATGTTATTGAGCTCATTTAATGGATTAAATTTTCTATCTATCTATCTATCTATCTATCTACAGTGAACCTGACATTATTCTTTGAAATCCTTGGATTTTTTTCAATATCAGCATTATTTTGAAATTTCAAGTTGAAATAAAACATTCATAAATTTGTGAAAACATTCACATTTTGCGACAAACGTTCTGATTTACCCTTACCCTACTGGGTGATCCAAAGAACGATGCATATTCTCAGGGTGATAAAAATATAGCTCATTTGTATAACTTCGTGGTAAACATACGAATTTACAAAGTGTAATGGTTCCAGAGATATTTGAATAACCAATATTACTTTTTGACTTTTGCACCGAAAAACCTCGACGATGTTACATTTCATTACACATCGATTAATTCGTGTTCCTTTATACTAAAATAAATTGAAATTTATTGAACATTTATGGTGGAAAAAATAATCATAACAATTCACGTTTTCGATAAAATTCATTATGAAAATGAAGTTTTCTTGAGAGCCCATCACCGCTGTAGCATTTCTAAATTTCTCGAAAACATATTAATATGTCCAATACATATTATGGCTTTGAAACAGGAATGGACTATTGAATAACACCTGAATCTATACGTATCAATGTTTCTTTGATGAAATTTGGGATTTTCTCAAACCATGACTTGTCGAATGCATACGTTGACACCCGGTATAGTACTAAAAATTATTTTAATTCCTCAGATTCATACTGATGGAAATTGATCTTTCAGAAATACTTACTATGAAATGAAAAGAAATGTTTAGAATCGATTTTCTAATTGATAAGTCAAATTGAATTTGAATCGGTACTTACTAATTTCTCATTAATTAGGTCTCGTTTCAATGTATCATATTTAATGGTAATGAGTTCAATACACCAGTACCTGATTGAATAATTTCCAAATGATCCATGTGAAATTTAATGAGTTATCATCATCATTTTTTTCAATAACATTCACTGCAGGCGTTGGCAAATCAAAATAATAATTCGATTATTGTTCATGCTATATAGGCAACATTTTAATTCTGGTTTCTTGAATCGAGTTGTACAAATTGGCTGAAAGTTAAATGATCAACTAGTCTTGATATCACCATCATGCACAGTTATTTGCCATCATTTATAATAGTCATCACAACAGCTCCTCATACGTCTCACTCAACTTATATACTAGTTGATTACTCGACTATAACGCTTACTTCTAATGTTTTCTGGAGAGTGGAGTTGTCCCAACGGGCGAGTGGACTAATAATGAATTATTGGCATTCAATTACTCCACTGTATCGTTAGGTACCTAAATTGCACCACTTCTTACGCTTTTTTTATATAAATAATGGGTCTATGCGTTGTTCGAAATTATTGAAATTCGGAGCTCATTTCAAACGTACCGTCATGGCCGCCATTTGGCGATACGTCGAGTAAATGGTGACGTCAGTTTCAATGCTGTTTCGTTATTCAGATTATCTTGCATTCTAACTCATGAAGCAAGGTTGCCAAGTCATAAATTATAATCATGATATCAAAAAGTTGTTAGAGTCCTGTCATTGAATGAAACATAATAGGAGGAGCCCATGATATTATAGTTGATTCTTGACTTTTTCGAGCAACCAGCATGTCCAAATATTTTTTATACTCTATAACACGATATCATGTGAATGTTGGAGACTAGGCAACACTGTGCTGAATTCTGAGAACTGACAAGACCACGCCAAATGTCCTTTACTGTGAGTTAATATGATTATTATTTACACAAATGTTTTATAACCAATACGCCACAACACATGAGGGAACATTTTGAGACAATTGTTTCTTTAATGCTAATTAGAAATATTACCAATTCATGATTGAGAATTTATGGATTATTAAATAAATCATATTTCTGAAGTTCCCAACCGTATTTTAATATTTGGCAACTGTGCTATGGTCTGCCCCTACCTCCTAAATCGTGACGTCAGTTTCTACTGGCGGTAAATTTCTAGTCTTTTGAAAATTACCCTGGCATTATTGATAAATTTTTTTTAAATATGAAATTGTAAGTTATTTGAGTGATGATTCTATTTGAAAAATAAAGAGAAATTAGCCCACTCGATGGATTGTAATCTGAGTTATTTCTTTCTCTTGCTGACAATTGGTGAAATCCTTTGAATCCTGTTTCTTCTCGGCTAACAGTTCAATTCATCAGCTTTGGAAATGAAGTAGTGCCTTGAATTGAAAAAGGAATAACAGAACGAAGTTATGTTTGTTTTTTATAGATGTGATGATCTTTGCCCGATCGGCAAACACGGAAGCGAGTGTAAATCAGAATGCCGTTGCCAGAATGGTGGCACATGTGATCCAGAAAACGGATTTTGTTTCTGCAAAGATGGTTGGACTGGTTCTGTCTGTGCCAACAGATGTCGATTTGGTTTCTGGGGAGTGAACTGTTCTCAACCTTGTGACTGTTACAATGGCGCTAGTTGTGATCATATTAATGGAGTTTGCGAGTGTCAACCTGGATTTACAGGCGATAGAGTAAGTTTTGATTAACTAGTTGCATAGTTTTACTGAAAACCTCAATTTCATGGCTCATTTTGGTAAGAGCATAGTTTGCAACTCAACTAACAGATACCTACAAGAAATGTTGAATTTAACTTCATATCAAATGATACAGCTATAGTTATTGAATATCATAGCATTTTCGAAAGTTTTTTTTTTCAGTGCTTGGATGTTTGTCCTGAAGGAACATATGGAATGGATTGTGCAAAGAAATGTCAATGTCAAAATGGTGCCAAATGTTCCAATAAAAATGGAACTTGCATTTGTTCGAAAGGATGGCAAGGACAATATTGTAATGAACGAGTATGTCCTCATGGACTTTATGGACCTGAATGCGAAGATACTTGCCAGTGCAATAAAGAAAATACAGAAATGTAAGTTTCATTCTGCCTAATTGTACTGGATGAAATCGAGTGACCACGTTTGAATTAAGCCCAGTAAACCATTTCGTGTTTCTGAAACGTTTTTGAAGGTAGGTAACTCTGAGAAATATGAAACCTGGAAAGATGTCGAACAGCACTTTATCAAGACTCCTTCATCCATAGAACGGCTAGGCTCTGGAATTCATTGCCTGTGGAAGTATTCCCAACAACATATAATCTCCAAAAATTCAAAAAAAATTCCAATACCTACCTCCTGTCCCTTTCCTCCCTAGGAACGCACGATGTTCTTTGAACATTATAGGGATTCCCTTTCGTGCGCTCCAATCGATAAAAAAAAAAAAAAAAAAACATTTATGAGACATCCTCCAGACCATAAATGACCTAGGGTGTGCTATGTTACATTGAGATGTTTCAATTGCATAGTCTCTGCTACATTTGATTCTTATGCCCGAGGCCATGCAGGAACGTCTCAAAGTCATCTCATTCGCGCATTGAATGAGCGTTATTGAAGAAATGATTTATGAACCTTCACTACTTCACTACTTGAAATATTCCACAAATGCACTCCTCAAGATATATCAGCAGAAACATTTCAGAATCATACTAGAATCATATAGGGGACACAGATAAACTCACTAACGACATAATAACAAACATTATTCAACTTCGAAATATTATAGAAATACAAACTTCTATCATATTCCATAGTTGAATGTAAACCAAAATATCGTCCTATATGATTCTGGTAGGTATACTCACTCAACAGTGCTGTACAACGATTGATGTAGTGAGGTGATGAGAAAATAAAATTCTACTGGATTTCACACTCGATAGTTTTGTAATGTTTTGGAAATGTTTCCTCGAGGTTAACGTAGAGATATTTTGGCTAATACAGGTCATCATTAGAGTATATAATTGACTTTTTTGTGACTAGTTTTGGCTCAAACAGCCATCTTCAGAAACAATACACAGTACCTAAAAGGCCACGTGTAAATCACAAAATTAATAAAATTACAAAAGAACCCAACAATCATAAGGTTCAACATTGGCACAAACTAGGGAAAATTAGTAATAATTCACTCAAAGGAGTTTCATCTTAAAATGGCCATACTATTTTTGATGACTTTCACGCGAGACTGACGCGCCCCGTTATGATATTTTGAAGACTGACGGTATCCACTTGAGCCAACTTATAGATTTTAGACAACTGTTGCGACATACATGTTTTTTAAACAACTTTGAAGCCGCCCCTGTGCTAATCGCTAAGATATTACATAAAAATGAATACGAAATTATGATTTATCACATAAAAAAACCTCGGGAACTAAAATTCGTGCAGATTACTCAGTTTTTGCAAAAGTAATTTCAAAAAAGGGAACAAAAAAATGTAATTTCAACACCCTGTATCTCCGAAAAGACGAATTTCCGGACACAAGATTAAGTAGACTTTCTTTCTCAAATAATTCAACGTACTGATGTTACACCCTGTATATAAGAGAAATATTCAAAATCATTGTTGATATTCACGAATATTTCAAATATCGCAATTTCAGTATTTTCAATTCTTTTGACCTTTTTTCTCAAAAATATCGCGTGTCCTGGGCTATAGGAACCTGCTAATGTTTGAAATAATTGAACATTCCAATTTTCAATAGGTGTCACCCATGGACTGGGGAATGTGACTGTAAGGCAGGATGGAATTCTCAAGATTGTTCCCGTCTTTGTCCGATACTCTCCTATGGCAAAGGATGCCATGGCATATGCAAATGTCAAAATAATGCACAGTGTGATTCTGTGAATGGTACTTGTTTGTGTGCTCCAGGTTTTACTGGTGTCAATTGTGAAGAGAATTGCCCTGATGGAAGTTTTGGGGAAGATTGTGCTCAAAAGTGTGATTGTGAGTAATGATCCATATAAATATACAGTATGATGCAAATGTATGGAATAAATTCATTTCAAAACAAGACGACTTCCGAAAAAAATCCAAAAAGTAGAGTTCAGAACTTTTTTATCGATGTATTTTTTGAACTAGACGACCCTTCGATGTTCAATTCTCAGTAGAAGATCTCTGCAAGATTCAGTTAACCAAATGATAATCCATTTTAATTTCAATCTTCTTTTTCAAAATTTTGACTATTGGATAGACGATCAGTAGACCTTTCAAACGAGGTGTCACATGACCCCTGTTTGTATTTAAAAAAACCGTCCATTACGTCATTACTCCAACACCGGTGACGTAACATCTCTCATATGAATGTCATGAGATGAGGTTTCAAAAATTAAAACTCACGTGTTTTTGGAATTTCTTCAAATGTCGCCCATTTCTGAAATAATGAATTTATTCCATACATTTGCATCATACTGTATAATTAGTTGATTATTTGTTAAGGTGTGAAAATAGTCTGTTCAAGATAAGCAAGTGCGGCTATATGTATAGAAACTAATAGCTTAGTTACTCACTATTGAAAACATTTTACTAATCTCTTGATATTTCCAACTTTGATTAACATGCTGAATGATGATGCGTGGGTGAATCAACCAAAATAACATGTAATAAACATCACAAAGACATGAGTATTTCGAAAAAACGTGTAATTTACACGTCAAACGAATGGTATTTGTTGCTAACAAATCATAGTAGACTATCATGAAGGTGAATATTTCCTACTGATATATTGAAGCGTGAATTCCACATCATTGCACTGAGAACAATCAATCCATATCTATTATCAGAATGACAACAATTGATGAGTTAACCCGCCATAGTTTCTTTCATCATCATGCGCATTGATGATGTCAAACATTGACATATAGTAAAATATTGCGGAAACCGATCGAGTTACATTGATTCTTCTCATAGCATTATTATTATTATTTCCTCAATGAAAAACTTTCTTTATGAATCCTATGCTCCATTTCATTCTTTTCAGAAATTCTGATGGTCTGCTTATCTAGCACAGACATACAGAAATCAATTATCATTAGTCTGATTATATTTTTCTTCTGTGACGGGAAAAAAGTTCGACATTTCATATCTTTGACATGTTATAAAATGCCACTCTCCAAAAATTACTTTTTTTCCACGGTTACAAAGTGAGTACTTTTTTCCGAATAGAAATATATAAACACTGTTGATGGGTTTTGTTGTGCTAGTTCCGAAATATAAGCCAATAACAGCGTCTCCGAGAAAGAAGTCCTAAAATCTTTCATTATACTTGGCGGTTACTTGAAATATCAAACAATCAGTAAGTTTTTCAAATCAATCAAATTATATAATTGGACTGACAGATATCTGATTACTTCAAAAGAATAATAAAGATGCCTGCAACGCAGGAAAACTTCAATTTTCACGTCGATAATTTTCAGTTTTTGATGTAATATAATATCTTCTCGATATTGATTCGTCCTTCTTCCTGTCACAGAAATAAAATTGTGTATTATACACGAGTGAAGACAACTTCTTTCCCTTGTATAATAATCATAACTGTTGATCCCTAGGTAAAAATGGCGCTTCCTGTTCGACTGAAACCGGTCAATGTCAGTGTCCTGCAGGATGGGAGGGGCAACTGTGTGATCGTCCTTGCAGCAATAGTTCTTATGGTGTACATTGCAATCAAAATTGTGTCTGCAAAAATGGTGCATCCTGTAATCCTGTCAATGGTAAATTCCTATCTCTTATTCTTCCGCATGTTTGAGTTTCGAATATTTTGATTGTTGAATTTTGTGAAAAGTCTTTCTGTCTGAAATTGAATTCGCCTGCTCATTTTTGAAAACAGGTTGATTTTATTCTTTCCAAATTCCGAATTGATATATCTATATAATACAGATCATTTTAGTAGGTAGTTTGTCCGTTAGAGAAAAGTGTTCTATTCTAAGGGATGAACAAGAATATACTAAAAAGAGACTCGGCAAATATTGAATAATGACAAAAATACATCATGTATTCCAACCACCGCGTATGATATTCGTAACTGGATCTGCATCGATTGACTCTGAAAGAAAGACTATAACTACCTACCTACCTTTGATCACAGCGCTAATAGGTGTCTCTTTTCTCTTTAGTCCCTATATTTTTCAAACTGTTTTACATCCATTGATAGCATTATATGAGTAACAGTTCATTTCAGACATAAATGCATGTTTAAAGTAGTTGAAGAATTATTCTGCGATTATATACAGTGTTTGCCCTTCAAGACCACAACACTTTTTTTATTTTCGGACACGTTGATCGATTTCAATTGGTGGAAATGTTTGAATACATGTGATAATCAACGAGGGGTTTTCGATCATATTGAATCATTTATATTATTGAGGCCTACTACGATCCGCTGAATGGGTCGAAATTTCGAGATAATTCAAAAATAATTTTTCGATGGAAAAGTAGATCATAGCATAACATACAAAATCAGGAGGCCCTACAAACATTGTAGAGGGCGTTATGAAAATTCGTAGACTATGCAGGAGAGTCGTCTAATATTTAGATTATCAGAAACATTTTTTTCGATGATATTGGTGGGTAATATTTTTCAAGTTTCTTTCAACTGATGTCTGGTCGAATCAGAGATATGATCCAGTCATTGGAATTTTATTTTGACAAGCCGATCGTCATCATAGTTGCGTTTTATTTAACCGATTTTGCCACCGGAATCACTTCAATGTGTTGTTTTATTTACAACTTTTTAGATTCCGGTTGCGTTGTTCTTTGCCGATTTCAAAGTCTGAGGGTTTCATTATAAATGGAAAATTGGTAATTCAACATTTCATTTAACGCCTACATAAGGTGTATTTCCATTTTTTTCATCCCTTGGAGTGCACGAAGAGATATTCCTGAGATATTCCGAAATTGAATGACCTATCACCTCATTCGGTGAAGATATACTCTTGTTAGTCAAACTCGAAATTAGGAACGTTTCATCGGGCTATAGTAGGGCTTCACTAAACGAAGACTCATCGTATTTCATCATTGCTGAATAGAAGCCTTCGCGTACGATTTCAGACTACTCACTTTTGGAAATCGGTCAATATGTACGGGAAAACGAGAGTGTTGCAGTCGTAAATTGTTCACACTGTACATATATATATGCCTCCATTATGGTTTTGCATTTGCATGTTTTTGTGTGTTTGTTAGGTAGTTGCACTTGTGGAGCCGGATATACTGGCGAGTATTGTGAAAATAGATGTCAGCAGGGTTATTTTGGTATAAACTGTGACCAGGTTTGTCAGTGCCAAGATGGACATCATTTAGGTTGTGACCCAGTTACTGGAAGTTGTATTTGCAAACCTGAGTGGAAAGGTATCTCATAATTTATAGTTTCATTATAATTCATTATAAGTTATTAGGTTTACTCCTGGTATATCATACAATTGGTACTATACATTATTCACAATGACTTTCTCCTTTGTTGATTATCATGAATATCTCATTCAGAAATAGTTGATAACGAAGGAGTTCTATAAGGTGTACATACCTTTCATTTGCAAAACATTTTATATCCTCTCAGTTGATATAAATATAGTATGTATAATTTAACTTGTGCATGATTCGTAAAAATCATTAGTACTCACAGCATAGAAAAATTATAAGAGCATTTGCATATACCAAAAGTAGATAAATAAAATATAATAAATGTACTTTTGTATTGAAATATCAACAGCTTATGTGATTTCTGCTACTTAATTATGTGTTCATTCTTTTAAATATATTCATGGCACCCAAGGAATGGCAATCTAATATAGCGTATCATACGTAAGATACAAAGACTATTCATATTCAGAATGATCTATTGGAGAAATACTTCCCTAAGTTCGTCATAATTAGGTATGATTGGTTCAAGTGGATGTACCAAAAGTTCATTTATACCCAGTTCCGAAAATACTAAGATTTTTCAATAATGCATTTGTACATAATTATCGGGCATAAATATATATTTCATATTTCAACAAGAATAATTCTAGGGACAATGTGCGAATCAAACTGTCCTTCAGGAAAATATGGACCATCATGTGAACTAAACTGCGACTGTAAAAATAATAGTTCTTGTCATCCCGATTCTGGAATGTGTTATTGTTCAAGAGGCTGGCAAGGCGATGATTGCAATATTCCTTGTGATCGGGGATATTATGGAATTGGATGCAGAGAAAAATGCCCAGAGGTTTCACTTGGTATGTATATAATTTTCCTTCAATGTAGGTAATTCTTCAGAGAAAGATCTTCATGACTATTCATACAATATCATGCATTGATTTAATTTTTATGAGTGAAAGAATATATCCTACAATAGTGTTAGATTCCGTTGAAGCCCTAACTGTATAGATGTTTTTTATTATCTGCAAAAGCCGGAATATCATTATATGAACTACAGTACGAAAATGCTCTGCCTTGTTGTCATTTCATGAAACAGTGAGTTCTTTTTTGATTGGGAAACGCTTCAGGGCTTGCGTAATTAAATATCACCCTGTTATTTCAAATGGATACCATATTCGACATATTTTTTCAAGCTCAAAAAAAGTAGTTTTTTGATGTATTTATTCTGTTTTTTATTTATTTATTTCCCAGATGAACTCACTAAAAATACAATTTGTTTGTCTCTCGATCTCTCGATTTTTATTAGCGTCTCGCTTCGCTTTCGAGACGTAACTATCCCATTATACCTCAGCATGTCTCTAAACTCCGTAATAAATAATATGAAATATCCACAAACATTTCGCGTTATGTTTCATATACAGTGAGGGGCAATATTATGGAATAAATTCATTTTTACGAGAATAGGCAACTTTTGAGACAAATCCCGAAACACGTCGATTTTTATTTCCAAATTATGATTTTGTGGCAGATATGTCATACTAGTGACGTCATCCATCTTTGCGTGATGACGTAATCGATGATTTTTTTAAATGAGAATAGGGGTCGTGTGATAGCTCATTTGAAAGGCTATTCAATTCTCTATGCAGTGATATGAACATTAACATAATTATTTATACAGGGTGGCCAAAAAAATATTTAATTTGTAAATGAAATTAATTGTCACAAAAAGAAGTATTATCATTTATTTAATACAAAATTACATTGTACTACTGTCGAAAAACAGAAAAACAAATTAGTTGACAAATAAAAATTGCTTTTCGCTTAAATTAAATGTTCAAATTGCCACCCATCACCTGCCTCTTGGCAGTAATTGAACGGACGAATACATTCTTCTTGAACATTGTGGATCATTTCTGGAGTTGAATTACGAATTTCCAATGTAATGCTATTTGTCAAATCTTGGAAATGTGTGGTCTATCGGCGATCTGGATCATCCTCATTGATTTTGTCTACTATTGAAACACTTGAAACAGTTTATAAATAAATGTTTAGAACTGGTGTGCTTTCTACTACTATGAAGAAACAAAAATAAATTCCGATATTAGGCAAATAAATAATGAGAACTAAAAAGATAGCAAAAAGTATAGTTTTTACAAATCGAGTTGGCTTGGGTCAAATGTAAGTCAGTTCTTGACATTTTCTCATAAGGACTAGTTTATTTCATGAAATAAATAAATAATGGCCCCATTAACTGAAACACAAAGAATCGAAGTATTAATTATGGTTGGATATGGAGATAGAACCAGAACACAACAAGAAGTATGTAATTTATTTACCATAAAATATCCTAATACGCCTATCACACAATCCACTGTTAGTAAAATTGAGAAGAAATTTAGAGAAACTGGACACGTGAAACATGTTGCAAATGCTGGTCGTCCACCAATGAATGAGGATGTGAAACTGTCTGTATTATTAAGTGTGGCAGAGAATCCTCAAATTAATTCTAGGCAAATTGCAGCTGATACAAACATTTCTAAAAGGTCTGTTTTACGTGTGCTGAAAAAAGAGAAATATCATCCGTATAAAATTCATAATGTCCACGAAATCAATGAGGATGATCCAGATCGCCGAATGCAGTTTTGTGAAGTAATGCAAGATTTATGTAATCAAAATCCACGCTTCATTCGTGAAATCCTTTTTTCTGATGAAGCAACCTTCTGTTTAAATGGAATAGTGAATCGGCAAAACTGCAGATATTGGAGTCAAAATAATCCCCATTGGATGACTGCGGTACACACTCAGCACCCTCAAAAACTAAACGTGTGGGCAGGGATAGTCGAGGATAGAATTATAGGTCCTTTTTTCTTCGATGGGTCTCTTACGGGGCAAATATATCTTGATTTTTTACAAAATGAACTTATACCCGCCCTTACAGACATGTTTCCAAATGAAAATGATCGTAATTCGCCAAATGAAAACATATGGTTTCAGCAAGACGGTGCACCTCCGCACTTTGCACGTCCTGTTCGTGATTTTTTAAACAGATGTTTCCCTAGGAGATGGATTGGTCGACGAGGAACAATAGAGTGGCCCGCAAGATCTCCAGATCTTACACCACTTGATTTTTTCCTATGGGGTTACTTAAAATCAAAAGTTTACATCGATAGACCACAGAATTTACAAGATTTAAGAAATAGAATTAGATTGGAAATTCGTAATATACCTCCAGAAATGATCCACAATGTTCAAGAAGAATGTATTCGTCGGTTCCATTACTGCCAAGAGGCCGGTGGGTGGCAATTTGAACATTTAATTTAAGCGAAAAGCAATTTTTATTTGTCAAATAATTTTTTTTTCTGTTTTCCGACAGTAGTACAATGTAATTTTGTATTTAATAAATTATAATACTTCTTTTTGTGAAAATTAATTTCATTTACAAATTAAATATTTTTTTGGCCACCCTGTATAAATAATTATGTTGATGTTCATATCACTGAATAGAGAATTGAATAACCTTTTAAATGAGCTATCACACGACCCCTATTCTCATTTAAAAAAATCATCGATTACGTCATCACGCAAAGATGGATGACGTCACTAGTATGACATATCTGCCACAAAATCATAATTTGGAAATAAAAATCGACGTGTTTCGGGATTTGTCTCAAAAGTTGCCTATTCTCGTAAAAATGAATTTATTCCATAATATTGCCCCTCACTGTATATGTAAATGTAAAAACTGAGTTCATTGTACCAGTATATCACCTGACGAAGCTACTGTCTTAGCGAAACATGTCCTGTGTTTTGTGGAAATTTTATCGTTTGTGAAGTTTTTACATTTGCCATGGATTTCCATGAAGTAACGGCCGAGTCAATTAAAAAAAAAAGAAGAAAATAGTGGATATATGTGATGATCGTCAGGATAATGATCACAAATGGGGATATTGCTTGATGGGGGATGCCTCAGGGCAAACGGCACAAATTAAGCTGTAGTATACAGAGGCAGGCTCGTCTGGCGATCACTATATGGCAATCAGCACCACACCGTCCGCAGCTGTGGAAATCCTTCTGAGCCTAACTCCTACCCACATTTTCATGGACAGAAAGGCCAGACGGTCAACATTCAAAATTGCGTATATTGCAAATTGCACAAATCTGGCTAATAGGGAACGTAGCACATTACTGGTGAACAGCATTATGGGAATGACCTCCGACAAAATAAATCCAACAGTTAACTATGATCTGCCTCACACCACCCGAATTTCGAATATAGAGATGACTGATTCCTGACAAAAGAGGAACTACTAAGAGCAGATAACTGTTGGTTCACAGATGGTAAAAATATATATAATATGAGATATCAACCTGTCTTGGGTCCTATATGCAACCTTATTTCAGGTGGAAATTCACGCTGTTGATTTGTGTGGGACAAGATTGGGGGACACCAACCATACAAAACAATTAAAATATTTTCGGATAGCCTAGCGGCTCTGAAAGCACTTAAAAACCGATCAACGTCTTGACGCGATTATAAAACTCAACAAATCGTCTCTGGTGTGGTAGGTAATGAAACTACAGATTCCCTTGCATGGAAGGGTGTCCCGAGTGGTTTCATCGGTTCAGAACCTGCCATTGGAATCTCACAAAGTTTTGCGAAACATTCACTGAACACCTGGACTGCAAAAAGAGTTTCAGACTTCTGGCAGCATCCCAGGATGGGCTCATTCCAAGGCGTTTATCCATCCTTTGAAGAATATTATCACGAAACAAATAAATGTTACACTACAACAGGGATGACCTAAGCTCTCTAACAACTCATTTCGAATTTATGCCCCGTTTGACGAAACTTGGAAATTTCATTTATAGCGTATTTTTGAGTTAATAAAAAAGCATTTTCGGACTTCGTGCATATGAGTGATTATGAAACTTGTCTAAATCAATTGAAAAAATCCTAATCACATAATATCTGCTGCTGATTATGGATACATTATAACATGTATTTTTTCAATCATCTGTTATTTGGTCTTCATCATAATAGCAATAAAACTAGCAAGTTCCATGCGTTGACAATTCATCATCAGACAAAGTAACCAAAAGTACCTGAAAATCTTCATTGAGTAGTTTTTTTGGTATCGACAAGTTCAATTCGGGTTTTTAATTTCAAAGTCGAATGCTGTCACTGTTTTCATTTTATTTTCTACTCAGGCAACTAGGTATACAAGCATGGATTATGAATAATTACTGAAATGATATGAAGAATTGTAAATTGAACTATTTGCTGAGTTGATTACTGCATAAGAAATTATTCCAGGTAACAAAACATGTGATCATGTAACCGGCGAATACATTTGTCCTTCAGGATATCTTGGACTGACTTGTGAACACCCTTGCCCCATTGGAAAATATGGAAAGAATTGTCTACGGACATGTTCTTGTAAAAATGGTGGAGATTGCCATCATGTTACAGGTGTGATTCTTCGTGAATTTTGAATGGAAAGAAATATTTTTGGAATATTAATCTGTTTCAGGAGTTTGCAATTGCTTGCCAGGATGGATAGGTGCAAACTGCACTATACCTTGTCCAGATAAAACTTTTGGTATGAACTGTAGCCAACACTGTAAATGTTCTAATGGTGAATGCAGAAGAAATGACGGGGTGTGCAAATGCAAACCTGGTTGGAGTGGCACTCAATGTACCGAACGTGAGTAGATTTAATATGTGCATTCAAAGACTAAAATCAAAAGATGACTAATTCACTAGCTGATTTCGAAATTCTAAGATTCCAATTTCCGATAAGTACCTAATTGAATTATTCTGAAGCAACTTCGAAATTTCATATTGTCTTTTCGTGAGCTGTTATAATATAAGCCTGCTTCAGATATATCGAGTTGTATTATATTCGCGAACATCAACTCTCAAATTTGAAAAAAAAAATCCTCATATGCAAAAAATCGGAAAATTAAAGCAGGTTAGAGCATAGCTTACCTGAGAATAGTTAAAAGTGCATTAGTGTCGATTTTGAGAAAATTATTCATCAAATCAAATTTATTATTTCAGTATGTCCAGAAGGATACTTTGGAGATCATTGTATGACACCTTGTGCATGCGACAATGACAATTTTATTTGCCACCCTTCAGATGGCTGTATATGCAAGCACGGCTTCACTGGCGAAAAATGTGATGAATCCAACATTCTGGGCAGAGTTCTCCAACCAATTGAGGCAGCTGAAACCGGCTACGGAGTAATGGTAGCCGTCATCATGGTTTCTATAATATTTTTAGCGATTGTCGTCCTAGTTGTTTTCTATTATAGAAGAAGGGTATCTAATTTGAAAACAGAAATAGCTCACGTACAGTACATCGCTGATCCAAGTGGATTCGGTCCAGGTATGATTATGAAACCTTTCATTGTTAGTCTAGGAGTATATTGAGAGTTATGTTATTATGAAAAATTAGCGTTAGGAATAACAGGAGTACTTGGTTGCTTTTTATGTAGGTTAGTATATAAGCATTGTTTGCTTTCCCGGATATTTGGAGAACAATTAGAGCCGTATTTCATCTACAGATAATTTCTTCATCGAAGGTTAAGAACTGCCATTGATGGAACTTGCAGGCTCTGATCAGGCCGCCCCTATAGCGTCACCTTGAAATTAGTTGCTAGTTCTATAAAGTATTTTTGTACTTTACTTGCCTGGTCTCCAAACGCATAAGGCAAACGGTTCTGTTGGAATTCGACCCATCATTCTCAAAAAGTGTTCACCAAAATTGACACCGATTCTCTGCAAGTTACTCACCATCTCGTATAAGTCGTGTGTTTTTCCGTCATGCTGTAAATAGCTATAGAGTCCAACCAATCCCGAGAAAAATAAATAAAAACCTACCCAACAACTATACGCATATTGCCTCGTTATCATCAGTTATCTCAGAAATCATCAATGATAGACCATATGGCTTTTGCCAACTAAGATCAACTGGAGATGCTCTTGCCTACGTCACCCATATAATATGGCAAGCTTCATTAGATAAACATGGAATATTGTTGTGGCCTCAGATATATTATCGAAAGGATTCGACCATGGTTGGTACCAAGCACTTTTCTACAAACTACCATCATAAGGTTTACCTACCCAGCTATTTCAGCTCTCATCGGGTTTCTTTCAGGCAGACCGCTCCATGAAGTGGTGGACGGAGTATCGCCTGATACCACAAGGATCACTTTTGGCACCAACATTGTGCCTACTCCATATCAATGATCTATTGGGAGTTACCACTTGCCCTATCCAAAGCTTTGCAGATGATAATACTCTCCATACTGCTATCTCTTCCAGAATCACGATTTCTCCTCAGGAAACTGAAAACTCACGGGCAGGTCAAAGCTGTTAAATCCATCAATAATCAATTCTGTATTTTCCTTAGGGGCAAAACTCAGTGTGCCTGATTTATCAATGTCTGGTTCCACCATTCCCACAAAGTCCACTATATCAATGCTCGGTATAAGCAATGGGCAAATCATGTCAGATCCATAGCGAGAACTGCTTCACAAAATTTGTATCTCGTGCGAGAATCTACTTTACACCTCAACAGCTTCTCAGGATCCACAAAGCACAGAAACGGCCTGTTCTAGAATACTGTTTCCACATATAGGGTTCAGCAGCCAAAAATGCGCAGATGCTCCTAGATTCCATCCAGAGAAGAGTCATTCGCCTAGTGGTTGATGCCATACTCACTAATTCTTTGACATCATTGGAACACCGTAGAAAAGTCGGCGACCTTCCACTTTTCTATAGCTATTCCTACAAATGTTCTTCAGAAATCTTCGCTTTCTTTCCATAGCAATACCAGTCAGACGAACTCAACAATCCCAGTCAGCACATCTTTTCGTCGTAAACCTTGAAATATGTCGAACAATATTTTCACCAAAACTCGTTTGTCTATAGAACGGTAAAGCTTTGGAATTATTTGCCAGAAGAAGTTTTCCTATGAACTTTATTATTATCTCCGAAAGTTAAAAAATGTCCAAAACCTACTTCCTCTCCCTATCCTCCCTAGGTACTCACGATGTTCTCGAAATTTTATATGGATTTCCCTTCATGCGCCCCAAGAAATGAAAAAAATATATAACATGACTTTTACGATTGTGATGAGAATGACTGTCAATGATTTGAACAAGATCAATGAACAAAAAAGTAGTTAACACCTGAACGATAGTTGAGCAATATGAGATAATGTTATATTGTTCTCGCCTCTCTAGACTGTAGAATTCTTGCATTTAATTACTTCCATATTTTGTGATGTATTTTCGTTTAATGTGTGTATTTGGATTTTAGATCGCACTCATTTCGACAATCCAGTATATTCATATCAAGGTAATGGTAAAAGGGATAACGAACAGTTATTGAACAATACGACAAAAATTCACAATAACTTGCATAAGCCTTTGAATACGAATTTGGAGAGGGCTCGTCTCGGTGGAATTGCATGCTGCTCTACTGACGATGATGAATCAGCTAAGGGTTAGTAGCTTCTTGTGCTCAATATATTTTTGTTCTTTTCTCATATTCCTCATCTCTTATACCTATGTCATAGTTTCGTTTTATGAAAATTTACAAGAGGTCAACAGGGTTCGGGTTTGATTATTTCTCATTCCTCATATCGTCTATATTTGATATCAACATATATTTATTCGTTTTATTTACATCAACATATAGCGGTTACAAACATAGTGGTTATATATAATAATTCACACCTGAGAAGACTCGTGTGTGTCAAGCAGTATGAAGAGGAATAGTTTCTCTGTAGTTCGCTAACGATAAGTCAAAAAGTAGTAAGGTTGAAATCTTCTATTGGGGCAATTGAACAATTTAAAAAAATCTATGTGAATGAATTTGTTTTTTGGGTCCATACTAACTGTGATATCTGGTTGTTGTGAAATTTCAAGGTGGTCATGAATAAATACATGAGCTATCGGATCGCTGACAATTTGATGAATGCCTAATATCATGATGAATAATCATCACTGAAATCAGAAGAAACCTACAAATGTTAGAAAAGCAGGGTCTGAACCCTGATCATGCAGACTATATTTTCACAGTCTATCGATCTTTCATGTTAATTTTTTATCGAAACCGGCGAAACACTTTTGGTCTGACTGGAAATGCAGCAAAGTTTTCAATTCGTATAAAATATATCTTTTTGAAATTATCTTGAGTTTTATATTTCGAAACTACTAAAACTCCAAATTTTGTCATCATCCCTATCATTAGATATTCCCATGAAAAGTGTTTCGTGGAAAATCGACCAATAGCTTGTATCATTTCTCTAGACTATTGAGATTCTCTTTTCCCGTCTATAAGCAACAATAATGATCAAATATTGAGATAATCACATAGTAGTTCATAAAAGAGGCTTAAATTTTTTCAAAAGAGTGTTTATGGGTGATGAAATTGCAGTCTATAATTGAACATCCGAAACAACAAGTGATTACTTGTTCCTATTCTCTATATTTTGTTTCTTAGAAATAATTCCTAACCTATACTGCTATACTCTCACATTGTTCAATATTCACAATCACATACTATCGCTTCACACGAAATGAATAATTTCATTCGCAATGAATTTGAGTTCAAAACAATAAAATTCATTACATTCAGATCGTGTTTATGAGTGTGATACATGAAATCGTTGTTCAGATGTTTGTTTATTGGATCGCCATTTTATGTGAAAAAAACGCTAATCTAATGTGATGTAATGTGAAGAAGTTTTCCACATTTTTGTTCCACTCGACGTGCCACTTTCGGTATGATATTTATTGAATTTTATATTCATAAGCTGAAGTCACAAAAATATGATGTTATCATGCTTAACTACTGGATCGAAAAATAAAATTAATCAGTACTAAAACTATTTTATCCAATTCATTTATATCATCATCATGCACCTAAACTGAATTGCACTGGCGCCATTAAAAAGAGTAAATAACTTGGGTGGTGTGTGAGATATCGGGACAAAATTAATTGCGAGATCACAAGAGTCATTGTCAGTTTCGGTCCTCCAGATCTCGCCTGAAGCAAACGCCTGTTTTTGGCTGTTAATACCTGAATAACAATTTACAAAACTCTCAGCAGAATATCAAATTCAGTATCCTTTTGACTAAACTCACACTTGTATCAATTCGTTTTCTCGCCTTCTTTTGCCAATCCCATTCATCACTACAATTACGGAATCATTCTGTATGATAAATAATGATAATACTACTAATGATTGATCATATAAACGAATGTGAAAACTTGTTTGGATGACAAATTCTGTTTTAATGTACTTATATATTATTCAGAATCACATGGTGTGTACATTTTATAAAATTATTACTTTTTTGACACCAGGTATATATGAACCCAGTATAGATGAACTGAAGAGCCTAAAAAACAGAGAAGCAGATCTAACGAACCCTAATATTTACCACAGCATAGAAAAACTGGATCATGTTTATGATGAGATCAAAGAAAAAGACGTGAAGAATATAGGTGAGTAGGTACACATCATGTACACATATTTCATCAAATCTATGGTCATTTGAGGTTATATTTTTGTCCAAATAGGCATTCACAAGTGGAATCTGAAGTGTAAGTTGAGTAAATCTATTTTTAGAGTTGCACAATCATCAAATATCTTGTTAGGAATACAAACACTAGCTACTTTCTTCCTAAATCATGCTACATAACAATTATTGTTCTAGATGTTTTGTATACATGATTATGTTTCCTAATGCATGAAATAAATTGTAGGTAGGTATGTATTATTTTTGTGAACTGAATCCGACTTCATTGAAGTAGCATCTATACCTTCTCACGATATACTAATGAAACCTTAGAGTTAGTTATATTTGATATATGTTTCACGAAATCCCATAAACTATATACTCTCTCATGGAACGACACTTATTTGAATTGTAAAATGAAAGTATAAGCATTCTAAAAATAACCATGAGGATTTTCGGTAGCTCTCACGGTACATTACCTCCAATTATTTATTCAATATCAATCCAGTTCCCTACCAACTTTGCTCCTATTAAATCATCGATAAGCTGATAATCACTTGAATTTCAATATCGAATTTGAGATGTAGAATAATGCGGAGACAATATTTATTTGAAATTTTGTTTTATAGAATTGGAATATGATCATCTAGACTACACCAGGCCCCTGAGTTCAATAAAACCTCATTATCAGAGAATGCCGAGCCCCTTTGGATCAAGAGATTTGACGAAAGATGGAAAATCAGAAACTGATGAATAGTCAAAATATGAGATATCAAAGTTCATCGGTGTTGAGTTTGAACTTCAAGAGCAAGTGAAATTGATCATTATTCGTGTTCTCGTGTGTTAATTTCAATCCGGATCAATAATTCGATATGATAAAAGGTAGTATCTATATATTCAATGATTCTTTCAAAGATATACATTGATATATAATACGCATATAGCTGGTAACAAATAATCATCATTTGTTCAAAATTCGAATCAATAATGAATTAATGGTGTGAATCGGCTGTGATTTTTTTTCTGAATTCTTCCTTTTGAAATTGTATAGTTTTATCCAAATTTGCATCAGTACAATATTTTTTATTGATCAACGTAATGAAATAAATAGATGTAAGTGAAAAAACAGTTGTCGAATCATTACTGAAGCCAAAAGGGGAACATCCCTGCCGAGATCCCTGCTTCATTAAGGAACCTTGAATTTTCAGAATGCAGGGTTCTAGCAGACTGAATTTGTAGCCACTTGTTTTTTACTTCCTACCTGTATTGATTGCGTCCCTATCTATGAATAACGAATGAACATTTCTGAATACAGTGCCGGATTTATACTCTCCAAGAGCTGATATTTTTAGGATGCCACCGCCAAATAGTACCAATTGAATGTTTCAAATTTCCTATACATTGTATTGTTTTTTCTTCTCAAAATCAACCAGAAGAACAATTGCCTAGGTATATAGTCATTTCGATGGGGCCGTCGCGATTTGTGCATTTAATTGAAAAGGTCTTGATGCTTTAATTTTCTTTTGCCTCCGAAAGTTGGATGTCCCTCTTTTTCCCCATCTGAAACTGGCACTCTTTCGAGATTTGCCTTTGTCGCCCGTACAGATCATGAAACATAACTCTGCTTCTTTGTGGCTGACTAACAGCTCTATTCCTGATAAACAATTATATATACGTCACTGCATCAAGTCACTACACATTCAAGTGTGGTTATATTTTTGTTATCCCATTCTATTGTATAGGGTTCGGGCAGGTAAATAAACTCATGCTAATGCACTTTTTCATACGTAAACGGCTTCTAAGTGATTATGTGTTTTGATCACTTCATCTTATTTCTACAAAAATGGTATACTTCATTTCAATCAATATCTTGTATATCGATCTAGAGAATTTCGCTTTCAAAACATACATCCCAACCGTTTTAAAATTGATAAAACTTCATGTATTATCAATGTATGGATATAGGACCAATTGGCACGTACTCAATTATCGATCTTATATCATTAATGAAATTTTCAATGTAAATAATTTTCCAACTTGTCTACAATAACATCCAGATCCGTTGTTAGAAGAGATCAGTTGAACATCACATTTCCACATGGTAATTTTCCATGGCCGCCTCGGTCACCTGATCTTGATAAATATATCATTTCTTAGGGGCTATCTTTGATATTTAGTCTGAAAACACTTGTGAATGAGCTTTTGACTCGAATTCCTGAATCTGCACACGCCGTAAGAAATGATCATTATCACAAGTTATCTCGAGTACAACGCAGATATAAATGCTTCTGTTATCTCAAACAGAAAATATATCCTCTGCTATACCAAACATACAGACTAATAATAACATCCATAATTATGTTGATATGAAATGGTTCACTTAAACATTCTGCGTGTGGCAACCATGCTGTTCCTAAAAAACAATATCTATATGCGGACTAACCTACATTCCACTGAAACTTCTACTTGACCTTCTCTAACATCTGCCGCATAAGGGCAAGTTTCCCGTCTCCTCTCCCTTTGCCAAGATTTCGTGCGATTGTTTCGCTGTCGGAATCCACTGTAAAAATCGCTCGAGTATCGAATGTCTGATTAGTGATTACCTCCTTTCTACAGCTGCTAATCGGGATTTTATCCTCTTCAATATTTTGTATACATTTATCCGATCTGAATGGTAACTTTTGGCATTGTTATGTTCTAATAAAATACGTTAACGTGGAAAAAACAAAACATCTCGAGAGGAGATGTACACATGTGAATACTCTGGCACAAAAACGAAGAGATATGAGGTTCATTCGGGTTGCGATTTCAGAACTGTTCAAGAATCGTTCTCGAACTGCGTAGAACTAGTGCGCAGTCGTTTCGAATCCTAGGACTGTTTCAGAACGGTTCTCAAATTAGGAAAACCTGAACGCGACAGAAGATAACCTCTGAGAACATAACCTTTATTCAGAATTTGGGAAAAAAACAAAAGTTTGGAACCTGTATCTCTATTCGAATAATATTCTGAAAGCTTCAAACTCTCCTTTGAGTCTATTCACAATATCTCTGGATGCCCTATGTGGAGGAATGGTGAATATATTCCATCATAGCATTCGTAACTAGATTTTCAATATGTTTTGTCCCTTGTACCTACATGAATTTCTATACCCACCTGAAATGCTCAATGAATTGTGTATCTGAATATAATGGCAAAGTATCCCCAACATAATCCTCCATTTTTCGGATTATTTAACAAAAGTTCGAGAATTAGGCACAATATTTTCAGCAACTTCAGCAAGGAACTCCTTCACCACTGCTACCTGAAGATGAAGAACTACTACTATCAAATGAATGTACTAACTCCATAATATTGAGAAAATGGTGAAATCAGCAATAAACAGTTGAATAAACAAAAATATATCATTATGACGTTACGCTACAACAGACAGAATAGAAAACTAAATGAAATGAGCGTGCGCCAAAAACAATCCTAGAACGGTTCATGCTCGAGAGCAGGTACTGGTTTCGGATAGTTCTAGGACCGTCCCAGGACGATTCTGGAAAAACCCGAACGCGTCAGTCCTAGAACAGTTCCACAAAACCCGATTGCGACCGATTCAACTGCGCAAACTCCTGACAGTTCTAGAACCGTAATAGTTCGAACCCGAATGAACGGGACGCCGTGGCATCGAAGGTTCTGGCCATCGTTTACATGTTTCCAGACATTTTTGATTGTATATTCCATGTACCTATTGATTTTATAATATTATATAATAAGTAAATGGCAATTTGTAATTGTATTTGAGATTGGAAATCCTGAAATAAAACTACTTTGAGGAGTAGATAGTTCGGATATTTTATATTACTCACACAACTTCTGAAACAGAAAAGTCAATTTGATAACTTGCTCAAAACCGTTTGTAGTTCACTATAAGGGGGAAACATATATATTTATGGAACTCTGTTTCATCAATATCCTGATATTTCAAGCAACTGAGCTCTAGCCACAAAATATGAATGTGCTCCCACTTATAATACGTTATCGAAAAGCTCGGAAATATTTTATGTAGTTATATATAAATTATATCTTTATGTAGTAAAATGCACTTTGTATATAGTAAAAATCATGTCATTTGGGTGTATTTTCCACAAGCTTTCCAATGATGTACCACGAGTATGTGAGTCACTGGACGATTTTAGTTGATGTGAAGGAAAATTCCATTGTCCAAGTTTTCAAATTGACTCGTATATAAGAACATTCATGTCATATTCATTTGTATGTTTATATACACAGTCTTTGTTTCCATCTTTCTCTAATAATTCATAACTATATAATTTTGAAAGGTCGGGAAAATGGAGGTCTTTCGAGAATATCAAACTGGATAGTATAAAGATCTGGAAAAAAATTTCTTCACATACTCAGTAGCCTGTCGACCAGCACAAAATATTTCATATATGTATGTATGTATGACTTTCAGAATGTTGGCATCGTGTGGGGAAATCTTGATGATGATTTATTCCGAAATTCGACTTGGCTGTTGAGTCTCTATAATATCAAAAAAAATTCAACTCCGGCCAAAACTGTCACATTCCACTAGCTTCATCATGCTATCCTTGTTTCCAATTATTGACAAAATTATGATTTTCTTCAAAAAACAATCTGTACCAAATTTATGATTTGTTTGATACAAAGTTGGTGTAGATACAGTGAAGCATTTATAGACTGTTGCCCAAGACACTATAGGGTTGTGGATTATCTACGAAGATATGTTCTTCAAGGGACATGAAGATCGTGTTGGATTATTGAAAAAAAAGTGGTTTATTGGATCGGTACCCGGCGCCATTCTCTCTAATCGGTCAACTTTTTGTTAAAAGTAATGTTGGAATTCTTATTGTGAAAGAAGTTCCACAATCTATTGAAATAGTCACATTTCGGTAAATTAACTGGTCTTTTGCGGATTTGCATAGGTTTAGGTCGGTCCCGAAGGGCGGTATACGGACGGGAAGTTACCTGCATCAACGGACATTTCTGTCAGATTATTAGCGAAGGTATGCCCTTTGCGAATAATTTGGGTGGGTGAACTTAGCCGTATTCGAAGGTCACTTAACGTTTGCCGCCCTTCAAGACTGACCTAGACGTTTGCAAATCGACTATATAGCGCCCGGCTAATTTTGTGAGATTTGACTATTCCAATACATTGTAGAGCTTCTAATATAATATAAACTACATCACTTTCAACAAAAAGTTCATTGTTCAGAAATAGGATCGACCGGGTACCGATCCCACAAACTACTTTTTTCCCAATAATCCAATAACTCGTTCTTCACACCCCACGAAGGGCATACTCTTGCAGATAATCGGTCTATTAGGAACAAAATTCATTCAAATCGATTTTTCTAGTACTATAGAAAGATACTGAAGTCAATCAAAATATCATCGAACCACCCTACGTATCTAACCAAAATTCAGGACGGTTTGGTAGAAGTACAATTTTTTTCAATCTCACAGATATTTAGTAGAAATGGGAGAATATCAGAAAGTTAAAGTTGCAATAGAACGTTCATTGAGACACATGTGTCGCGTCTGCAATTTAAACAAATAAGCTAATTTTCCACGAATGATGTGAAAGTATAGCTTTCAACATTAGGCAAAAGTCACGTGACCCCAATCGAGTAGGAGTCTTCTCATTATATTCAGAGCAAAACCCAATGCCCAAGTCGAATTTGAGGCAAATATATAATCAAAACTGTATGCCATATAATGCCAACCTCCAGAAATAGGACACTGTACTCGGAACGCATAGTATTTAATGTGGCCAGTCTGAAAGAACAGTAGTCCAGTTGAATACTTCTATATGATGGCAACTTTCTTCCGGATCTCTATACTTAATGAACGAACCAAACAAATTAATTACACAGGACAAGCCGATACTATTGAAAATAAAAAAGTCTAGATGGCTCTGTGAACAGAAACGACGGCTCTGAATTGACATATCTCAATAAAAAAGGTTGTTTCAGGATGGTAGCTCAGATCCGTTTGAATATGGAGTATACTCTAATTAGAAGATGATAAAATACTCGTTTGTCACATTTCTCAAGGTTTTCTAGAGGAATCCTTCTTCCTTTCATAATAAGCGGTGCCCTTAATATATTGAGAACCCATTTTTTCAC